TTTTWWAATCAATTCCTTATCTCAATTTATTGAAAATATTAACCAGCATCTAGTTTGTTGGCAGCAGCATACCCCTGAGCCTAATTCCCATTTTTCCCCTGTTGCTGAGGTTCTGGTGTGGGATGTACAATCGCTTCGACAAGGGGATGCACCCAAAGCAGTGYGTGCTGGATAAGCTGCTGAGCTGCATGAGCCAGAAGGTGACACTGGAGGACAACGCATCYGAGCTGGAAAACGTGAGGCACAAAGGGGTTCACAGCACCTGCTGGGTTGGGAAAGTGTAACTGGGATCAAACGTTGGCACTGGAAAGTTGTTCCAACCAGCCGGTCAGAGTGAGGGGGTAAACRACAAAGCTCTGCTTGCAGTGAGTGTTAACAACCCCAAACATTGCCAAACAAATTAAAATACAGAATCTGAAATGCACCAGTGAGAACACTGTTAGTGTCCTTTGCTAGGTCACTGTGAATGCTGAAATCTTCAGCTTTATTAATTAAACACGAGGTTTGTATTGGACATGAGAGGATCTGTGTCCAGGTGTTTCTGAAGTTTGTTTTGGACATGGCTGGATCTGTGTCCARGTRYTTCTGATGTTTTGGACATGGCTGGATCTGTGTCCAGGTRYTTCTGATGTTTTGGACRTGGCTGGATCTGTGTCCAGGTGTTTCTGATGTTTTGGACATGGCTGGATCTGTGTCCAGGTGTTTCTGATGTTTTGGACATGGCTGGATCTGTGTCCAGGTATTTCTGATGTTTTGGACGTGGCTGGATCTGTGTCCAGGTATTTCTGATGTTTTGGACGTGGCTGGATCTGTGTCCAGGTATTTCTGATGTTTTGGACATGGTTTGATCTGTGTCCAGGTGTTTCTGATGTTTTTTTTTGGACATGGCTGGATCTGTGTCCAGGTACTTCAGTGCTGGAATGCAGAGCTGGCAGAGGGGCCCTGGCACAGATGAGTTTTGTCCATCTCTGCCATCTGACTGTTAATGATTTGGTTTTATGCCTTTCTGTTTGTGCAGAAACTGCCTTTCTTCGATGGCCCCTTGCCCAGTGAAGGCTGCTCCTCATCTAAGGCAGGACCTGCTGCTGCCAAAGGCCCTCGCCAGGACTGTGGAGAGGGAGCAGCTCCTGGGCTGAGCAATGGCCCCTCCCTGGGGCACCAGAAGCACAAGGAGAGCCCATCCCAGCACCGGGATCTGCACAAGCTCGACACCTCTGCAGAGGATGGGAAGGCTCAGCACCAGGGATGAGCTCTGGGAATTGCTGGCTGAAGCTCTGGTGGGAGCTGCTGCAGCCCCCGTTTGCAGCTGGGTGTGAGTAGGGGTGTGCAGAGCTGGGGGAGCAGGCTGCCTTGGGGACACATCTCCTGCAGCTCAGACGATGCAGAGCTGCCCGGGGGGCTGCCTGGCATTCTGTGAACCTGGGGCTTTCCGTGGGAACACGTGTATTTCTGAGGTGCATGGCTGGAAGAAATCTTGGCCAATTCCACGAGGAGTTGGGCAGTGTTTGTAACTGCAGGGGGAAGGATGCAAATCCCTCTGTTCTCAGTAGTGGTCCAAGGTCATCTTAAAACGAGAAAAAAGTCCAGCCCATCTTCAAATGATAAAAAAAAACCCCTGAACCTTTCTTAGCTGTGAATGAATCTCTGCATGGACCCTTGCCTTGTAGCAGAACTGATCCATGTTTTGTCTCCTATGCATATTTGTTACACAAAACCAAACCCCTGTGCCTTTTCTGAGACTGTGTCAGTGTCCAGCCGGGCCATTGCTGTTTGTGCTGTTGGAGTTTGGAGTGTAGTGTTGAGTCCTCTCTGTAGTCYGTGTTTTTGAGGAGGTTTTCACCCGCTGCAGCTTCTCCAGGGTTTTTGCTGACCCCCTGAGTTCAGTAGCTTCTTTCCAAGCTGACCTCTTGAAGAATGAGCTTTTATGGACCTCCTTTACTGATGGTAGTGCAGCAAGTCACAGAGCCAGCCTGGAACACATGGATTTGGGATAAGAGGGAGGATTAGAAAATTTGGGATAAGAGGGAGGATTAGAAATGAGGAAAGACAGGAGAACATTTATGTGCTACTTTTCTCTCTTATTTTATGATCTTGGTTAATCTGAAGCAAGAGCGTAACTCTGTTCTAAGCTGAAATCACTGATGAGGCAGCAGTTACAGATGGGCTGTGCTCTGTTACTGAAATGGGGCCTAAAATGATTAAATCATTTGCTGAGTGATTCTAAGGAATGTTCAGATTCCTGGAACTAGAGATGCTTTGTCTGTCTCATGAACAGTATCTCTCATGGCAATGAACTGTGTAAGAAACAAAGCAGAAGCAAGGATTTCCCTCCCCAGGGACTGGGTGTCACAAATRAGTGTTTGAAGGTCATCCAGAGAATCCTTGGGAGAGGCAGCAGCAGCAAAAGCAGATTTCATATAAAAAACTGGCCAAATTCATTGGCAGGGCTCACTCTGTTACTTATTAGCTGGTTAAAGCACACAGAGAAAATGAAATTAAAAAGTGAAGCAATCTAAAACTGAAATCAACCAGTGTGCAGGCTGGGGATGGAAAAAGGGTCAGGATGAAAAGGAATAAAGGAGACCCACGAGGTGCAGAGTGSATCAACCTGCCAAACTGAGCCCTTGAAATACCAAGAGTTGAGGCCTAAGGGTTTCCTAGAATCAGAGAATCAGCAGCAGCAGTTAAGCTTAACAGCAATGAATCAATAGGGAAGGAATGGAACAAGGGTTCCAGCACAACAGGAACTCCATTAGAGGCTGAACTTACACATCTAAAGTACTCCAGAATTCAGGAGAGCAGCATGCCTGGCCCATTGGCTCTGGCACAGCCCTAAGGAGCAGGTCCAGGTGTGTCCCTGGGAAAAATTCCCTTCCAGCTCCCTGTTTACAGAGCCGTGAGAGAGTTTGTTTTAGTCAGACCCATTTTCCAGCCTGGCTGTAATTTGGGTCAGTATCWTCCTTGGAAAGGTCAATAACAAAAATGTTCCCCTTGGCTTGTTACTAAGGCAAGAAAAAAACGATTGTAGAGCTACTGGTGTAAGGCAGGAGTTTGATCTCCAGTCCTGGCAGCAGCCAGTGTTCCTGATAAGCTCCTGGGTGCTGCTTATCAAGGCCATTTCTGAGCTCATGGTGTGGCCCGGGGGGTTGGATATTCCAAACCACACCCCGAAAGCTGCGCCACTGTCCTTGCTCTGTGCAGGATTGCACAGAACATCCCCCGTGCAGCTTTGTTCAGGATGCTTCTCTGCTCTCTTTTCAATCTGTTGTTTAAATTGAGTGCTGCCATGAAGTTTTCAAATCAGTTTTTCTCCTTTATAAAGTTTGGAAGCCAACTGCAAATATTTGAGTTTCCCAGTCTCCAGGAGAAGCAGAACCATTCCATTGTAAAACCAGAAAATGCAATAGCTGTGCTTCTAATCCGTGGTGAAATCACTGGGTAGCTCCAGTATCCAAAAACCAACCAAAACTCATTTGGAACTGGGAGGGAGGAGGGATCTGGTTTGCTGCTCATTTGGCTCATTTTGGGTAAGAAAATATCTATTTTATTAGCACATCAAAAGACCCGAGGGAAAGCAGAACATGGAGTTTCTCCATTGCCTGGAATGGCAAAGAGGAAGCTTTTTAATATTGATGGTTTGTCATTCTTAAATAGAGTTGTTGTGAAGGAAGCAGTGGGAGCTACGAGGGGTGATTGATTAAAAATCAATTTTCTGATTGTTTGGAATACTGACCCAGGTGATTGATGAATCAGCCCTGTCCTTCCTTTCCAAGGGGTGGAGGGTAACATCCCCAAATTCTGAGAGAAAATGAGACGTAAGACCAAGACAGGCACTTTTTAGGACCAATTGTTCTATGGATCATCAGTTCTTTTAATACCTTTAATATATTCTCTAATTTTCATTAGAGATACAGAACTGAAGAGGATTTTGACTGACTGCTGAAGGATTTAAACATGCCAGGGTTAATTATTGTRTAAATCCAGCTTTGCAGAAGGCTTCTGTAAATGTTTAGATGTTGCCTTGTCTTTGGAATGGCCATGGGARGAGCTTAATAATCTTCCCTTATTCCTGAAACTGCTATTTCCACAAGGCTCCAGCGTTCCTCCACATGTGTGTAACCACCACCAGGTTACTCAGAAACTGAAAGCAGTGTAAGCTTGGAGCAATCTCGYTGCTTTTAACCCCAGTGACAAAACAATGGGTGGCAAAACAGAGCCAGACCCCAAAATTGATGTCTCTGTGACCCTCTTGCATTCCATGTGTGCAGGCTCAGGCAAAGTTTCATGCTGGTGCTGTAATACAGGAGCTGGAGATGATTCCRGGGTTTCTTCCCTTTCCACGAGCTCAGAATTTGAGAATCAATGAACAAGAAGCTGTTTGGGTTTGATAGCACCTCTGGGTTGTTTGAAGAGCAAAAATGAGGAGCTGTTCATGGCACTGCGGTGTCCTGAGCTCAGGTGGGATCTGCTTCCCAGAAAAGCTGCATTCCCTGCTCCTGGAGTGTCCTGGCAGCAGGGACTGGATTCTCTGCTCCTGGGAGGAATGGAGGAGCTGTTATTTGGCAATCTGCTGTTGTTACTGCAACTTGTTATTCCTAGGGGAGCATCCCTGCTTTGTGAAGTCACAAATCTTGCTTTTATTCTGACCTATCAAGTGAGCAGTGCAGCTTCTTTCCGTTTGGATTCTGTGACTGGGGGAACTGGGAGGGAGGAGGGATCTGGTTTGCTGCAAATGGGATCTGGTTGTGTAAAACTCTCCCTTTTGTGGAGCTCCTCCTGCTTCTCCAGGACATTCTGTGGCTTTACCAGGACATTCCATGGCTTCCTGCCTGCCCCCAGTGTCTCCTGTGCTACAGCCAGGTGTAACCTTAGAGTGGGCCTGTCATATYCTGTGTTAAACTCCTCCTCTGAAGCACAAGAGGGACTGGTGGAGCTTCATTTGAAATGGCTTTAAAGTGAACTTCATTCTGGTGGCTTCTTAAGTTGGGTTTTCCTTTGCAGTCCTCACSTGTGGGAGAGAAAATCCAATTGGTGCTGTTTGCTCTGCAGGGAAAAAGGGAAAGAATTGGGTTGTTCATAGATTGTGCTCTTCATGGCCTCTTCAGGGATGAGAAAAAGCAGTTTGTGAAAGCTTTTAGGTCTGATTTACTCCTGCTCYGTTCCTATGCTTAGTGATTGCCTTTCCATGTTAATTCCTTGGAATAAAAATCTACCTGCTCTGTTCCACAGAGCCTCCCTGACTGGGATGGAGAAGGAGATGGGCTTGGAGGGAGCTGGGAAGCTTTGAGAAGCTTCAGGAAGCTTCTCAAGCTGTGGAGAGTGGGGTTTGTCAGCAGTTGAAGGTGCAGAGAGCTCCACAGGATCTCCAGGTGCCACTCTGGGGCTCCAAGTGGGAATGCTGGTGTTGAGGAGCCCTGGGGCTGCTATTTCCATCAGCCCCAAAGCTGAAGCACCCCAGGAAAAACATTGGGAAGGGAAGAGCTCCTGTTGCAGGCACTGGTGCCCTGCAGCTCCTGGCACACTTGGCCTTGGGCAGCCTTCATCCCCAGAGCAATTTCTTTGCCCAATGTGGTGCTGGATATCTGGGAGTGACCAGGAGAATTCCAGATGTGTTTTCCTCCCATCCCCTCCACTCTGTGCTGAGGGCTGGGGTTGTTGTTATAGGGACCTCTCCCAGTAATTCCTGGTTTCCATCCATTCCTGATGCACATTCTGGGGGGGAAGAACCTGCTCTGACTGTTTATGTTTTAATTATCACCCAGCTCTTGATTAATGAGCTGAGGAGGCAGCTGATGCTTGGGACCAGGTAGCCAGGTGGGGCCATTCGTTAGGACAGGTTTGCTAATGACATTAATTAATGTGTCCCCCTAACACTGGGAGCTGCAGGAGCAGGGCAGGGCCCAGGGCTTGTGGGATCTCTCTTTTCCCATCATTTCTCTGAATTTCCATCTATTGAATGTAGCAGGTCCTACTGGAGTAACTCAGCACTGGATCCCATCCCACAGCTGGATTTCCTTGTCATCCCCACCCTGATCCTTGTAGGAATGTCCCCAAAGCTGTGTGTGCTGCTGCCTGGGAATGTCCCTGTTGCTGTTTGTGTCTKTGTCACTGGTGAGGGATATTTGTGGGGGATGAACCCCAGTTTGGGACAGGCCCCAAGGGCTCTGTGGGTCCGTTCAGTTCCTGCACTGCTTGAACCCGACCTTGGCTAGAGGAGAATTGTGTCCTTTCTCAGAGTGTTTGTCCCATGGAGTCTCACTTGTATTACAGGAATTTTTATTCCCTACAAAAATAAACACCTTGCCTTTTTAAAGGAAGTGGCTGCTCTGTTTATTGGGTAATTAACTCACAACTTCACACTGGAAAGGTGAAGGCAAGTAAAGGATCCTGATTAATAAAGAGAGGGTRGAGCCACTTCCCCTCTACAGAACAGAAACTGGGTGATCCCCTTGGTTTGGGGGGAATGGGGGTGCAGGGGCTTAAAA